ACGCAGTTTTCTAGTACTGTGTAAAAAATTTTTAATTTTTTTTTTAACTATCATCCTGATAGGTTATAGAATCCTATACGAATGACTGTCGTCTTGACAAGCCATGTCTATAAACCAAACTTATTAGTCTCTAACCCGTATGGCTATTATTCTAACAGATCGATGTAACCAGAATGAATGTCGGGTTCATAGAAGCAAAGTTATTTCTTCTGTATACATCATCGATTACTAATATATCTATATACTAGATTAATTACTTCATACTTACTCAGCTAATTACTTAGACTTTTCTATTACCTCATTTCATATCACTGATTTGATCAATCGATCGATCATCAGACCAAACGAAGGACCATAAATTATGGTCCATGTTTCTTTATTAGATTTTTCATTAAATTCAACAGATGCTTCTTCAATGGGTGCAGGTGCTGTTTCGTTAAATTGCTTGTTTTTTTTTTTACATTTTTTAAGGTGTGCATTCTTTAAGTGAAATCGGCATTTATATGATTCCATGTTTAATAACCAAGAATTTTAAGGTGAAAGTTTGAGAAGATCAATATAAATTCCAAATAACTAAACTATAGAGCGAATTTTATATTTTTTCTAAAAAAAAACCTTACCAGTTACTTTAAAGTTGACACGGCCAACCAAACGAAACAACCTAATTAAAATAGGTGAAAAAACATATATTCTTATCTCTTAATACGTCATGCAGAAAAATTTGCCTTCAAAATCTAATTTTAATGTAATTGATAAAAAGTGAGATAAGAGAGGTCCCCCTAAAAGATATCTTATTTAATTTGGTTAGACTTTAATAACATTGTAGTAGAATGTTAATTGTATAAATCACGTTACTGATGATTAACACTAACTCAAATTTATACTTATCACACATTACTGCATCATACATTACGTTGATCGAACCTAAATAAAGTTTAGTGACTTTTTTTTTTTAAATCTAATTATTCTCACGCTATTGTTTTACAAAAGGGGTTGTTTGCTTTAAATTTTAAAGCAATTTCTGAGATTATTTATTTATTAACTGTGGTAATCGATTTTAAAAAAAAAACCATACGTACATCTTTAAAATTTTAATATTTTATAATAAAAGTTAAGAGTTTTTGTCGATTCAAAAAAAAAACAATACTGTTTAAATTGACTTGAGCATTATAAATATCTACCCATAGAATCTAAATATTTGAAATTAGATCGATAAAATATATATGCCAACTAGCGTTTTTTATAAAAGTATTAAATTGGAAATAAATAGATTAAATAGAAATAAAATAAATTAAAAAAAAAAAAAGTATAAACTATTTATTGAATTCAGTTGTAAAAAGTTTATTACTATGCAAAACAATGAAGATATATATCTTAGTAATACAAACATATTGTGGTTGTATATATCTGATATATACATATTACACGTATGTATATGTATATATATGAATATATCAGATATGTATTTTAAATATAAATATTGAATAAATATAATTTTTTTTATATGGATTAATACTTAAAGTAAAAATTTAGTAATGGGTCGTGCATATTTAAAAAAAAATTTTAAATATTAATAACATAATTATTTAATTTTACTATATAAAAATCGGTCAATTTTAAATTTTTATAAAATATAATTAATGTTTATAATTTATAGTTTAAAAATAACATTAAATCTTAATGAATATTATATTGAAATATTATATAACGTTTTATAATTTTTTTTTTAAAACTATATATATAAAACTTTTTGCAGGCAAATTTGCCTGCATCTATCTGACGTATTAAGAGATAAGTAATGTTCAAAACGGCTCTATAACTTTATAGTCATAGTGCACAAGAATCAACTTACATTAAATCATCATTAACAGAAAGAAAAAAAATGCAACTTGTGCATCTAAAAAAGCAAGACCCAATTTTAATCCATTACTGTAAAATCGTATTAAATGACTATATAATCGCCAACCCAATATTACATGCTTGGTTTCGTGATGATTTGAGACAAAAAACGAGCAGTTTTATATATACAGCTTATAAAAATTTTTTTGCGCATATTTTCTAAATTTGTTTAGGCGGAAAGTGCATATATGATTTTAGAGTTTGCGTATATACTATTTATTTATAATATGCGCTTGCGCGAATAAAAATTTTTTGAATTTATAACACTGCCGATAAGTATAGCTATTAACCGAATACAAGCCTAATTTTTGAAAATCATCGTCTGTGGGATTTGAACTCTAGACCTGCCACTTGGAAAGGGTATCGATTAGACCACTACACTAAGTCGCCACATCTCTTAAATGTTGTATTAAATTTTCAATATACTATATACTATATATATATACAGTTAATTCAGAATCTCGAAATATATAGAGAGGGATAAGATCTTAGTTTGCTTATTGTTCATATAAAATTTTTTTAAAAAAGTGTACATTTTTGACTATTTTCATGCAGATCTTTACTATTTTTAGTAATTTGTTAAGATTTTTAAAAAATCTTAGCTATCACTGATGATCCCTCGTACCGAAATTTTTGGGAAGAATCCAACTCGAAAAACAAGAAACCTGATATACAATACACCTAGTGAAATGAATGAAACCATAAGCCAGCATCTATCGTTTAGAGGTAGTTCTCATACGCTACTTGCCGATAGGCTTAGAGTTTATCACTCACTGCAGGGACGGCAACT